TGCTACCCTCTTTCACCTGAAGAGAAGAGCATATTGGAAAATTATCCTATTATTCCACTCCTTGCACTCACTGCCAAAGTAAATATTAGAGTGTGATGTGAAACACAGCAGTTAGTCTCCTGGGTGCCCAGGTTGATACAGGGGGAAAAAATGAATCAAAGTAAGAGCTTATTTTGGTGCAAAGAAAAAACTTGAAATCACATGCGTAGTATTTTCATAATATGCATTTCCCATGAACTTTTTAAAGACCTCCTTGCAGGGCCCAGCAGGTGGTGTGGTGGAAAAGGTGCTGGATCCCACATGGCTGACTCCATGGTTCAAGTTGTGGGTGTATGTGTGGGTGTCCAAAATCTTAAGAGGAGAATAGAGAAGAGGCGATTACAGCATGGTCATCTGCCCCTGGGGCTGATTTCTCCCTCTCTCCCTCTCTCCCTCTCCCTCTCTGTCTCTCTCTGGTAGACGCAAGTGCTCTATAGCCAAACAAACAAACAAACAAAACAAGACAAAAAAAAACCCTAAAAAACTAAAATAAATAAATAAAGACCACCTTCGGCCCTTGTATAAGAGAGGACAGGTTTTACGCAGAGGTAACATGATCAGACTTGTATACATGCAAGATCATTGTGGTGTATTTTGCTCCTTTAAGTTTCCTTAGCACCTTAATATAATTTTTGTGTTCATTCCAGGAGTAGAGCTACCTTTGCCAGTCTCACACATTTATTTATTTGTTATTTGCTATAAGGTGTGTATGATCACCAGAGAGAGACAGAGAGAGAGGGGGAAAGTGAGAAAACACCCTCCTGTGAGGTTGACCACACCACAATGCCTTTTTCTCCATTCACCTCTTGGGGTTTTGGGCATGCATGCACAGGTGGCTGGCGTGCTTTTCAAGCTGCTGGTCCAGGACTCAAACTATGCAGTTGGCTATGTGGCCTTAATCACCATGCTACCAGCTGGTCCTAACTCATGCATTTATTTTAATTTTTTTCCTGGTAAAACTACAGTTTAAAAAAAAATTCAACTAACGTTTATCTATTTATTGAACAAATACTAAATATGTAATTAATACAAGGCACTGCTTCAGGGCCAGCCAGAGGCATGGTAGTCAAGGTGCTAGTCTGCCACATGGCTGATGGTGATTCAAGTTCCAGACCTGGTGACTTGAAAATCACAGTAGGCTAGTGTGTGTGTGTGTGTGTGTGTGTGTGTGTGTGCGCGCTTGCACACATGCTCAAAGTCCTGGGAGGAAATGGAGTAAAAAGGATTGTGGTGTGCTCCGTCTCTCTCTGTCTCTCCTTAGTGCGTGTGCACGTTCTATGGCAAAAAAACTAAAATAAATAAATAAAATAAAAGGCACTGCTTCAAAGGATCTATTATTAAAATAATAAATGTTCTAGTCTGTTTTGTTGCTAATGCCAGAAAATATATGAGTATGGGTAATTAAATAGAACAGACACTTTTTTTATTCCCAGGGTTTGGAGGTTTAAGGTCCAAGGGCATACCTGGTAAGGTTTTTCCTGCTGGTTGGGTCCTGAGGCCATGCAAGGTATCAAATCTTTTTTTATTTTTTAAGATTTATTTAATTTTGTAAATTATTATTGTTATTTAATTTGCTATAGAGTACATGCACTGACCAGAGAGAGAAAGAAAGAGAGAGAGGGAAAGTGAGAAAACAAGCTGCCAGATCCAAGACTTGAACCGCATCAGCCACATGGCAGTCCAGTGCCTTAAGCATCAAGCCATCTGCTGACTCCTGGTATCACATCTTAAGAAAATAGGAGCACATATCTCTATATGTTGCTGTGTGTGCTTCTCTCTCTAGCCTTATAAATCCACCAGGAGACACACATGGGGACCCCACCTCAAACACCTAATCATTCTCAAAGCCCCTTCTTTGGATAAAATGAAGGTATTAATATCTTGGGAACACTAAAACAATAGCAGCAAATATGTGAATTAAGGGATGATAATTTCCATTGAAAAACAATAATTAAATTTACAGATTTATGTAAAATTTCAAATTTATGTTTTTAAACCTCATAGAAGAAAACTGTTTGAAGGTGTTTAAAATTATAGGATGATTGTATAAAATGAAGCATGCATATGTTTTTGTAACTGACTCAAATTACCTAATTAAAATCTAGTTAAACCCGTCAAACAACGTTTGAAAAACAAGTCTTCAAATGCCCCTGACTATTACTCAGGAGAAATACACCATGAATTGTGAGGGCAGATGGCCTATCTTCCAATGAGAAATGTTAATGCATCTTATTTTAGAAGAATGAAAATGAGACTCAAGTAGAAAATCACTTATAAGCTGACACGTTCCCTGCATTCATCTGATAAAATGGTGTCACATACTAACATGCACACATTTATAATTCAAAATACTTTCCTCATTTAAATCTTTGGATTCAATTCTCGTTTATAAGGGTGGAAGATAAATGGTCCACATGATTCCATAAAGAAAAGTTTCCAGAATATATTTGCCACAAGCTGCCCTTTGAAGCAAGTGAACTTAGTAGTTCAGAAAAATTAAGATATAGGATTTTTTTCCCACAGATTAAAACTGAAATGGTCTTGTGGAACCAAGAGAAATCTGTGCAGAATAAATTTTCTGTAATTTGTTCAAATCGAAGATACTCATGCATTATTTATAAAGTATAAAACAAAGTCAAAGGGTTATTAAAAAAACAGTACAGTGTGTTTTGACCATATAGAAACCAGGCTAATTTTTTTCACAAGACTTAGTCACACAGAGTACAAGACTTGAAACGTGGTTCTTCCAAAGCCAGGAGCAAGAGTGAGACTAGCCAAGATAAGTGAGTCATATGACCACAGACAAAGTTGCCAAAGCCATTTTTTCCATTCCATGTGCCCTGTGGAAGGGCAAAATGCAGGCCCAAATGGAATGCTAGCTTTTCCTCATTGTGTCAGTTATAGAACAATAACTGCTAAGTGCTATATCGTAACTGGTTATGGAACTTCATTTTTTATGTGAATTTCCCCTTATCCCATCTGCTTAAAACGTGTTGAGATGCCAAGCATTACTAACTTAATTTCTCCTTATGTAACTACATAGTCTTACTTGGCATTTTGTTCTCTTACTGATGTCAATTAAAATGACAGTATTCATAGGAAAAAACAAAGTTCAAGGTTAAAAGAATACCATGACAGGGCCTCTACTTTTACATACAGACTTTAAACTGGACTGTTTATTGTTCACTACCTTAGTGTACTTCCCTGGTTGTACCTGTAGTTCCTTATAAAGCAGTTAAATTGCTATTGAATTTTCTTGCATGCTTTACTTTGGTTCAGAATAACTTGGTCAAAAGGTTTATTGAACTTCTACTTGGTCTGTCCATCCTTCTAAGTGCCTGGACGGTTCTGAGGAATCAGACTTGGCCCATGAACTCAAGGAGCTGCCAAAAGATAAAGCTTGGAGTGCAGTATGTGCCATGCCAAACTACCACGACTGGAATAAATTTGCAATAATGCCTAACATGTATTGAATGCTCACAACCAGGCCAGAGGCTTCGCATAAATTATCTCAGATAAACCTTACAGTATTATACGCAGCCATAATTTGCAGATGAAGACCCTGAGGTTTAGAAAATTCATGTAACTTGCCCAAGGTCAAAGTCATACCGACCTTTATGTTTGCATTTGCTGAATAATCTTTGGGACTGCTGTGATTCCAGCACCAGGAAGATCCCAAAACACATAGATTTCTATGATGCAAAAGAAGGTGTGCTAGACTCAGGTCCCAGACGTTTAGTCCTAATCTTGACCCTCTCCGCAGGCCTGGTCACACCCAATGGCAGATAGGTAGCGGTAGGTCTCAAAGCAGTTACTCCACAGAAGGCAGGGTCAGGTGTAGGGAGAAGAGGAACGTTAGGAAGGGGAACAGTGTCCAGGCGGGGAAGAGCAGCAGTACGGAGGGAAGCCCCTGTGCACCCCACTCACACGCCAGAGTTGGAAAAACTACAGTTCCTCTGGAGACCCTTCCACATTCAGGACTTCCAAGTTTCATCCCGGACCTGAGAGGAGGCAGACACCTGCGCCCTCTTGAATGCCTTCTCAAGTCAAACGGCTGGTCTAAGGGTTGGGGTTGCAAGTGAACGCCAGCTGAGGACCGCGATTGGAACAGGGAAGCCGAGGGGCTGGCTACCTTCGCGATGACCCCCCTCGGCCGCGTGGGGCCTGGGGTCTTGGCCGGGGGCCCCACCCAGCCTCGCTTCTCTTAAGCCAGCGCGGGCGGTGAGCTGCAGGCGCGCAGCCCGGAGGCCCCGCGACGTCACCGACGTGCTGTCGAGCCTCCAGCCCGCCCCCTGCGCGCCTTGTCTTCCCAGTGACGCTGC